TCGCTCCACCACAGCGTGCTACTCACCGACGCCGTCGGGGTCCGCGTGGGCGGCAGCTCCACCGTCTCCGTCACCCGCTGGGTCTCCGTCGGCCCATGCCGCGTTGGCCAGTACTGCGTCGCGCTTGGGCTCGGCGTCCACGTTGGCGTCAGGCTGCGCGTCGCCGTCAGCGTTGCCGTGTGGCTCAGCAGCGGCGGGGCAGGCGTGCGGTTGCACCCGTCCACGTGCGGCAGGTACACCGGCAGGCAGTCGCGCCCGTACCCGCCCTCAGCACAGCGGCAGCGGCACGACCCCGACATCGCCCTCGTCGCAGCTGCAAAGCAGTTCACGTCGGCGTCGCACACGCCACACGCCACGGGGCGGAATTCCCCGATGACGCCGGCGGATCTGTAGTCCATCGGCTGCAGCGCCTCCCCGTTGAGCGTCAGACACCCCACAACGAGCTTCCCGCCGGCGCCCCCAAGCACAACGGTGCCGTCCATCACGACGGGTCCGCTGCCAGCGTTCCCGTGGAGCGTCAGCGTGCTCTCCACAAGTTTTGCACGGCGCGGGTACGACGGCACCGACAGGAGCCTGCCGCTGATGCTGTTGCCGCGCACCGACAGCCACGACCCGGAAGCAAACGACGCCGACCCCCGCAGCACCAGCAGCGCGCCATCGGTCAGCGCACCGGCGTTGTCGTTCACTACGACGGCGGACGCGTTAGCCTCCACCCCGCTGTCGAACACCAACCCATGCGCGGCGTACACCTGACTCCCCGACACACGCAGCACAGCGCCCCCCGACGCAACCACGCGCGCACTCGCGTACAACGCATATTCGCCACCGAGCAAAGCCGCGTCCAGCGCGACACCGCCACCGACAAGCTCCAGTACGGCGCCGTCCACCACCACCGTCCGCCCACCAGTCAGCACGGTCACGAGGGCCACGCCGGACACAACCAGCACGGACCGCACGAGCCGCAGGCCCGACAGCACCAGCACCGGTGCGTACGGCAAAGACTGCGAGCCGAGAAGATACAGAAGCGGCGTAGACCTCGCGGCAACCAGCAGGGAGTCCGTCACCGTCAGCACAGACCCCGCGGGAAACGTGCCGGTCAGCACAAGCGCACCGTTCAGCGCCTCCACATCGCACACGGACAGCTCCACCGGCCCGCTCTCGTCGCTCCCCGCCGCACCCGCACCGCGCAACGCTCCAACGCCCATCACGTACAGCACGGCGCCGTTCTGCAGCGACACGTTCTGCACAACGATCCGCACGCCGTCCCGCGCCATCCACGGCACGTAGAGCACCGGACTCACGCCGTCCAGCACAACGTGGCGCAGCGTCACCTCGCTCGCGCCGGCAGGCACAACGAACACCGACCGCACCGTCACGCCCTCGCGGACAAACACACTCGACGCAGTGCCCACAGCGGACGGCAGTGCGGGAGCTCCCACAGGCACACACGCCTCGCCGTACCCGCCGCTGCCGCACGCGCACACGCACACACCGTCCTTCATGCTCGCCGACGACGTCTCGGGCGCGTAGCAGTAAGTGTCCCTGTCGCAGGCGTCGCACCCAGCAACGTCGATGCTCCCAGCGTCGCCAAAACCGGCCGCAGCGTACTCCTCCGCCGTCGACAGGACAGTTCCGCCAGCGATGTTGCACGCCACCCTCAAATGCGCCCCAGCCGAGAGCGACAGGCTCATCGACAGCATCCGCGGCAGCAGCGCTCGGTTGCGCACAAAGCTCAACGTGCCCCCAACAGCGGTCACGGCACCAGCCGCGTGGAGCATCTCCCTCGAAACACCTTCGTGCACGTTGCCCTTCGCCAGAAGCATCGACCCGCCAGCCAGGCTCACCGTCGAATAGAACGCCACCGCGTAGTCCTCCGTCGACGAAAAGTCGCTCCGCACAAGCGCCACAGCGGAGCCCGACACGCTCACAGCCCCACGCACGGACACCGCGTGCTTGCACAGCAGGAAGTCGCTGTCAACAAACGCCACAACGGAGCCGCTGCTGGCCGCAACGCCGCCCTCCACCGACACGCACAGCCCCAGCGCCGTCTGCACAAAAAGCCCGTCCACGTACAGCGCACCGCGCGACTGAAGCACCACGCCGCCAACCACCAACACGCCAACAGCCTCACGGAACACCGCCGCCACGTGCGTGCGCGCGATGGTCAGCACGCTCCCCGTCAGATTCACGCTGTGCACCACGAGGCACGCGGAGGCGTCGCCAAGGTCGTAGGCGTTACGGTACGCAACACGCTTCTCTGCGATCAGCACCGAGTCCACCACAGTGACGCGTGAGCCCGGCGGAAATCGGTTCGCCACCAGCACGCCGCCGCCGGAGCGCGACTCAAGCCCGCTGATCAACACATCGGCACGCTCGCCAGCAGGCGGGTCGGACAGCCACCCAACAACATACAGGCTCGCTCCGTCCACAAACGTGCAGTTCGCCAGCGTCACGTTGCGCGTGCTCCCTGACATCGACCCCACATCCACCACGACGTCCGCCGAAAAGGTCACACCAACGTAGCACGCCACCGAC